AGAGATGACAAGTCAGGCTTGTTAGGCAAAGATTATGCATGGTAGTCATTTGGTCAGCAGTCATGGTTCATTTTGCCAGGCACCTAACTGGCCTGGCTTGTATGTTGCTACTTTAAAACAAATGTGTAGTTCATGCTTCTGAGAAGTGTCAGACTGAAAACACTGGACACTGAAGTCCTCTTTTATCCACAGAACAATGAGAATTATAGTGTTGTTTTTATTCTTTGTTTCACAGTAGTACGTAAGGTATGTCTACACAGCATTCTGGAGTAAGCTTCCCAGCCTGGGTCAACACTCGGGCTAGTGAGGCTTGCTCCAAAATTCTGCGTAGACATACCCATAGAGGCCCTTATTGAGATGGATGCCCCCTTGTGCTAGATGATCTACAGTAGGAAAGTCCCTGCCTCAAATACCATTCTATTTAAATAAACAAGACAGATAACGAATGAGAGAAAGAAACTATTGTTCACATTTTACAGGTGGGGATTTGAGGAACAGAGAGGATAAGTGACTTGCCCAAGATCACAAAGGGAATCTGGGGCAGAGCTGAAAATTGTATCCAGATCTCCTGAGTGGAGCTGGCCAAAACAAAATTTCCAGTTCACTGAAAAATTCAACATTTCCAAATTTGGTTTCACTCCAATTCAGGATGCCCCTGAAGGGGCTGCTCCAGAGCAACAGACCCTGGAAGCCCAAGGTCCCCAACAGCCCACTAAGAAACCAGATCATTTGACAAAAGTTCATCTAACCTGAGATGTTTCCACAAAACACCTTTTTTGACAAATCAGCATTTTCCAACAAAACTTTATTTTTCAGGAAAATTCTTAACTAGCTCTACTCCTCAGTCCCAGACTGGTGTCTCATCCACAACACAACTCTTCCTCTCTCAGTGCACATGTCCCCCAGTCTGGGCATGTGATGTGTCACAAACCAGCCTTGCAAGATAGTTCAGAGTCCTTGCTCACTCTTCCTTTAGCCTCTCTGATTAGACTGCCAACACTGCTGCCAATCAGAGAGAGAGGCTCATTTTTTCTTCTTCATAATGCAAATAGCTCCACACTAGGAACTGGACTGAGATCAGCAAATACTTTTTGCATAGACCACTGAAGTGCCATCAGACAGTAACAACCTGGACTGGATTTGCACCTATAAATTAGGCATAAGGGTATGTGACAGAATTGGAGGTGCTACGCAAACAAGTTATGACCGCTATAGAAGCTGCTATGAAGGAATCTAAGAATATATGGATTTAGAGGATATGTATAACTAACTGTTACTCCCACTTGGATTTGCCAGCTCCCGGAGCTCTGGACCGAGTCTCTAGGGGGCCCTATCAAGAGGACTACATTTAAGATGTCCCAAGGCCTCTGACCCTATTTCCTACCATGCTTGGAATCAGGGATGGGGACAGAAAGAATTAGAAATCTCCACTGGAGTCAACAGGGAAGCTTCTGCTTGGGGTGATCTGGATGAGCAGTCAATTGGACCAGTGACAAGGCAGGGCTGCATAACTCCCAAGGAAGGTACAGCCCGACTTTACACAAAGACAAGAAAGTTTAGTTTCAGTTGTTTGGAATTTCGGACAGGGATAGCTTAGCTCAGGGAGTCCCAGCTAACTCCCATGCCCCTTGAAGGAAGTTCTTGTACTGCTCTGAGACTCTGGTACATGGATCAGGCAGTTCCAGCATGGCAGTGGCCAGCATCCAGAGAGAGAGAGAGAGATCCAACGCCACACTAGCTACCATGAGCCAGCTGAGACCCAAGAGGATTCCAGACCAGGAGAACCAGTGAGCCTGGCTGGAGTCAGGAGAGGACCCTGCCCCACTTTGGGATCAAGAAGTAAGATACTTTTATTTAAGTTGGTCAATGCCACAGGACTGTAACACTTCATCTCAGGACATGCAACCTCAGCTGTACCATCCACCTTGGGAAGGTGCCAGGGTGGGAGCTGGGGTTTGTAAGTGTGAGTGTTAGGAGGTGGGGAATTGGCTTATTTATCATTGTTTATTAACTATTAATTAATCTTGACCCTTTCCTTCCCCGGATCGTATTTTCCTGTTTATAAGAAAGTCAGCCCCCTCTAGTATGCTGTTATTTTCGGTGCATCATTCCTTTGGTGGGTTTTTTTTTTATTACCTTATTGCCCCCCTGTGTGCTGGACTTCATACTCATTGCCAGCTAGTAGTAGTAGGAGTAGTATTTGATTTTTCTCAAGAGACAGCATCCTCAGGTATATGGCACAGTGAGGTGTTACCCTGGATAGAGGCACATGGCACCAAGAAAAAAACCAGGACCTGACCTACATGAGGAGAGGGGCAAAGATCCTCCAAATAGTGGGCTACAAGCAATTAAAAAGTGTCTTGAGTCCTCCAAAGGAGGGTCACTTGTCAGCAACAGCCTAGAGAGTCTAGATAGGCTCTGTAGAGCAGTCTGAAGACATTGGACATTTCCAGTTCCAGGGAATAGTAAGCCTTAGGGAAGAGCTAGATATGTGTAGAGTCGGTTTATTGTTTTTAAGATCTTTCCTCTCAAATGCTTTTATTCTAAATAAATACTTTTCATTAAGGAGGCAGTTTGGTCACTGATTACCACTATTATTGTCCTCGGGAGAAACCAATTGCAGGGTCTGGACATAAGTCAGCCTTGCTGAGGTGATCATAGTTGATACACAGGGGACTGCAACCCTGCAGCACATCTGAGAGGGAGAGAACCATGTTATTCCATCCTGAGAGAGGAGGTGATGGCCTGAGATCTACCGGGGGTCCGCTCAGAGAGACTAGGAGGGTCAGAGGTACAGTTCATCTGGTGACTGTGACAGGATCTTTTTCCAGTATCAGGGGGTAGCCGTGTTAATCTGTATCCACAAAAACAACAATGAGTCCGGTGGCCCCTTAAAGACTAAGAGATTTATTTGGGCATAAGCTTTTGTGGGTAAAATACCACTTCTTCAGATGCATCTTTTTCCAGTTATTAGTCACAATGCTGTGACGAGGGAATGTCAAAGCTCAAATGGGTCAGAGTTTGAATAAGATCTATTTAGGTATATTGACAGCACTTATAACTATAGTATCTAAGGGCCTGATCTTACAAACACTTTCCACCAAGCCCAGGGACTATTCATGAGCAAAATCACAATGTTTGGTAATAAATGTTTGAAGGGTTGGGCTCAAGGAGACCAAACTGTCAGGTTAAACTATTCTAGGAGGAGGAGGAGCGCTGAAGACCTTATTTTATCCAAAGCAGTTTGCTTCATCAGATCTCTAAAATAATAAAACTGTGTGAAACCTGGGAGCATTCCGTGGTTTTCTGGATGGGTGGCAGTCCCAGCTAGGCAAAATAGTGGGTTGCAGCCTAGACAGTTACTTTTTGATGAACAAGTATTATATTTAACCCCCGTCTTATCTTCCCTCCCTTTGCAATACATATCCTTGTCCCAGCCTCCACTATCCTGGTATGCACAATTATCTCTTCATACTTCTCCTCAGGAGTGTGAGCCCTGAGAATTTCATCCAGTCCTTTGGTATTTGAGCTGCCAGCTCTACAGTGCTTATTGGGACAGCCACATGCTCTTTCACTCATGCTCAAGGTTTCCTCTTGGCTCCCAGGACCAGCCTCTGTGTTTTTGTCTGCTGCACAGAGACCTAGTAACTCGCAGTTACAATTCCCTGGTCAACCAACAACTCAGCTCTTTGTATTTGAATTGTGTGTGTTACTTTTGACTTCCTGTTATATGGTGGTACTGCCAAAAAACACAGCATTCAAAAATTTAAAAGGTGCTGATCTGATTTCAGACGCAGGTATCAGCCAAATCAAATCACGCTTCCACATAACTTCATATTAGGGTTGCCAATTTTCAGCACAGTAGCTTAAGTTATTAAGTTTTTATACCCTGTTCAACCCACTGACTGTAGTGTTGTTCAAAGGTCTGAATAGGGCCATATTTGTCTTTTAGGACCACAATTTTAGAGATGCCTTGGCCTGGCCTTGCACAGCTTTGCACTTGCAAATAATTCTGGGTGCAATTTTGCAAGTATAACTGACTGCAAGCACAAATAATAGCACTATGTCGAACTATTTGATTTTGCGCATGGATAGGTATCAAGATGGTTAAATGGATAATCACATTTGCAAATTATTTACTGATGCAAAATGGAAGGTCAGTTTTCAAACTTTGGCCTTTACTGTCCTAAAACTTGAGGACGCTAGTCTGGGTAAACTGAAAAGTGCAACCTTCTGGACATTCTTCAGCCTTTATTCACGCTGCTCCTAATACACCTATGTTGCTGAACATCAGTCAATTGTTATGCAGTATTAACGAGCAATCTTCTCTTTTTCAGCAGGCTCTTCCAACGGAGGCACTAGCTTGGACTGTTTGTCTTCTGACACACCAGTGTATTATGACATTGCAGCACAATACCATCAAATTGCAACACGTCAAAAAATAATAATGTTGCATTGACCATGAAAGATGCTTTAAGGCACTTCAGTGTACTGAGAGCCTAACATGCAAGACACAAGGTCATGCTATTGCTAAAGCAGGGATGATTGGCAGTGGAATTTTTCCCCACACGTTTCTGCATAGGTAGTTACTTTAATAACTTTGCTTTAGCTCTTTCAGGCAGGGTATTGTGTTTCCTGGTTATACAGCTTATCCTCTTTTTGTAATGAATTATAAAAAATACCTCTGACATTTTCACATTCCTTGTGTGGCTAGTGAAGTGAGTCACAGCTCAGACAGCACTGAACCTAATGTGCTGAACATACTGATTCTTGGACAAAAATGAAATAATCAAGAAACAAATGCTAGCAAGTTATATTCTTCTATAGTTTTGAGCCATAACAATATATAACAGGACACAACCTTCCTGTACCTCTGCATTGTGTATTTGAGATGAGGGATGGGAAGGATATTACTAAGTGACCAAACAGTGAACTTCATGAAGGAAAAAAGTAAGTTCAATACACAAGAACCATGTGGCAAATTTTTATGTATAGAGCTTTTATTTACTAATATTAAAAAACTGTCTTCATTCATGCAGTAGCTAAGCAAAAAGGAACTTTAGTTGGTAACATGCTATAAATAAAAACAGAGAGCCCAGTGTTCTGATGATAAACAGATTCCGTCCTTCTATAAGCTGTTTGTTCATTCACTTCATGGAATGCTGATTTCCCAGGCAGTTTGATTCTGGGGACAAAAAGGAAATGTATTTTCTGTAGAGAAGGCGGGGTGGGGAAGTTGGGGGGAGACACGAAAGCTGGATATTAAAAGGCAAGCATGGTAGTTAAGCACACAGGACAGTGATAACTTATCCCTTGTTCCACCAAAAGAGAATGGTAATTAATTGGCACCACTGGCAAGCCAAGTGTCTTTTATGCTGTTGCTGATCCAAAGACTAGGGAGGAAGGACATATGACTCTCTGATATTAGACACAGGTTTGAACCAAAGCCAAGATCCAAGCACCCTTTGACTTCAGTAGAAGTGGGGTTCAGAATCTGAACACAGACGCAGACCTATCCTTTGTGAACGTCCCTTATTTCTGATTCATTGGTCCCTTTAAGTCCTTGGAATCTTTGTGATCATCCAGTCTGACCTTCTGTATGACATAGGCCATAGAACTTCCCAAAAATAATTTCTAGAGCTTATTTTAGAAAAACATCCAGTCTTGATTTAAAAATTGGCAATGATGGAGAATCCAACATAACCCTTGGTTAACTGTTCCAATGGTTAATTACCTTCACTGTCAAAAAATGTACGCCTTATTTCTAGTCTGAATTTGTCTAACTTCAACTCTTAGCCATTGGATCATGTTATACCTTTCTCTGCTAGACTAAGAGCCCATTATCAAATATTTGTTCCACATATAGGTACTTCGACACTGATCAGATCACCCCTTAATCTTTGCGATACTCAAGGCGCTCAATTTATTTAGCTTGTCACTATACAGCATATTTTCTAGTCCTTTAATCATTCTCATGGCATTTCTCTGAACCCTCTCCAATTTATCAACACCCTTCTTGAATTGTGGGCACCAGAAATGCACACAGTATTCCTGCAGTGGTCACACCAATGTCAAATGAAGAGGTAAAATAACCTCCCTACTCCTAATCAACATTCCTCTGTTTATGTATCCAAGGATTGCATTAGCCCTTTTGATTGCAGGGTTGCACTGAGAGCTCATACTCAGTGGATTATCTGCTGTGATTTCCAAATGGTTTTCAGAGTCCGTGCTTCCCAGGATCGTATGCCCCATCCTTTGTTCCTAGATTATATGCTGACATTTAGCTGTATTAAAACACATTCTGTTTGCTTGCTCTCAATTTACCGAGCAATCCAGATTGCTCTGTACTGGTGACCTGTTCTCTTCACAATTTACCACTCCCCCTAGTTTGGGTGTCTTATGCAAAGTTTATCAGTGGTGATTTTCTGTTTTCTTCCAGGTCATTGATAAAGATGTTAAATAGCATAGGGTCAAGGGATCCCAAACCTGAGGGAATCCCCTAGAAACACAACTACTTGATGATGATTCCCCATTTATAGTTACATTAAGACCAATCAGTTAGCCAGCTTTTAATCTATTTAATATGTTCCATGTTAATTTTATATTGTTCTAGTTTTTTTAACCAAAATGTTGTGTCATACGCCTTACAGAATCATAGAATCATAGAATATCAGGGTTGGAAGGGACCCCTGAAGGTCATCTAGTCCAACCCCCTGCTCGAAGCAGGACCAATTCCCAGTTAAATCATCCCAGCCAGGGCTTTGTCAAGCCTGACCTTAAAAACCTCTAAGGAAGGAGATTCTACCACCTCCCTAGGTAACGCATTCCAGTGTTTCACCACCCTCTTAGTGAAAAAGTTTTTCCTAATATCCAATCTAAACCTCCCCCACTGCAGCTTGAGACCATTACTCCTCGTTCTGTCATCTGCTACCATTGAGAACAGTCTAGAGCCATCCTCTTTGGAACCCCCTTTCAGGTAGTTGAAAGCAGCTATCAAATCCCCCCTCATTCTTCTCTTCTGCAGGCTAAACAATCCCAGCTCCCTCAGCCTCTCCTCATAACTCATGTGTTCCAGACCCCTAATCATTTTTGTTGCCCTTCGCTGGACTCTCTCCAATTTATCCACATCCTTCTTGAAGTGTGGGGCCCAAAACTGGACACAGTATTCCTGCAGTGGTCACACCAATGTCAAATGAAGAGGTAAAATAACCTCCCTACTCCTAATCAACATTCCTCTGTTTATGTATCCAAGGATTGCTACATAAATGATACATAAATTGGACACAGTACTCCAGATGAGGCCTCACCAATGTCGAATAGAGGGGAACGATCACGTCCCTCCATCTGCTCGCTATGCCCCTACTTATACATCCCAAAATGCCATTGGCCTTCTTGGCAACAAGGGCACACTGCTGACTCATATCCAGCTTCTCGTCCACTGTCACCCCTAGGTCCTTTTCCGCAGAACTGCTGCCTAGCCATTCGGTCCCTAGTCTGTAGCTGTGCATTGGGTTCTTCCGTCCTAAGTGCAGGACCCTGCACTTATCCTTATTGAACCTCATCAGATTTCTTTTGGCCCAATCCTCCAATTTGTCTAGGTCCTTCTGTATCTTATCCCTCCCCTCCAGCGTATCTACCACTCCTCCCAGTTTAGTATCATCCGCAAATTTGCTGAGAGTGCAATCCACACCATCCTCCAGATCATTTATGAAGATATTGAACAAAACCGGCCCCAGGACCGACCCTTGGGGCACTCCACTTGATACCGGCTGCCAACTAGACATGGAGCCATTGATAACTACCCGTTGAGCCCGACAATCTAGCCAGCTTTCTACCCACCTTCTAGTGCATTCTTCCAGCCCATACTTCCTTAACTTAGAAGTCTATGTACATTACCTCAACATTATTACCTTTATCAACCAAACTTGTGATCTCATAAAAAAAAGATATCAGGTTAGTTTGATAGGATTTTCTATAAACCCATGTTGATTGGCATTAATTATATTACTCTCCTTTAATTCTTTATTTAATCAAGTCCCCTAGCAGCTGCTCCATTATCTTGCCTGGGATTGATGTCCGACTGACAGGCCTATAATTGTCTGGGTCACCCCATTTACACTTTTTAAATATTGGCACATTAGCTTTCCGCCAGTCTTCTGGAACTTCTCCATGTTCCAAGACTTATTGAAATGAAATGAATCCCCCTTTCTGCAATTCTAAGTGCTCCCAGATTTGAGGGTGTTAAGTCTGGAAGTGAGGCCCAAAGCCCATCTCTAATTAACTCCTATTTGTGATGATCAATTCTTTCTATTGCACCTGAGCTGAGCGGTGATTTACATTCCCATAATGCCTTGCATTCAACAGATTAAAGTGCTTCACAGGCTCAGTTATATGAGGCAAATCCTCTCCCACCCTTTGTGGGCATGGAGAGCCCCAGCTGTAGACAAATAGGGTTCCATTACACAGGATATGGGTAGTGCACATGGCCAGCATAGTAGGGTGTAGCCCCACAGGGCTTCCTGACCCTAAATGGCAGAGGTGTAAGGGACCGGACAGTGGAGGTGGAGAAGGAGGAGCAAGAAGCAGGACTGATGAATTCATGACTAGAGAGGGTCTTTTCGCAATTGGGATGAAGCAGCCGCTTCTGGAGAGCAGGCAGAGGAAGAGAAAGAAGCAACGCCTCTTTTAGTTTCCCCTACAAAGAAGAAGGATTCTGAGGATGAAACTGGTGTTGTTTATCCATCTTGCTAAATTAACTCACCAAGTGGATTAATATAATCAAGGGTTTGCCATTAATACAATTTGTGGTGTTGGTACAAAACTGAGCTCACTCCAAGCAGGGTTCCACCCTGCATCAAAACTCCCATGCCAAAAAATAACGTTAGTCAGAAGTAGGATTTTCCCCTGGCCATATACGTCTATTCCACCTAGAAAAGGCTCATTGAGCAACAGCAAGCCCAGACTAATGGAACATAGGATATGGTGTGACGAAGTGGGAATGTTCTTAAGGTTTTCTCTGAATATTGTGCGGGAGCCTCAGTTTCCAGCTATACCTTTCTTAAGTATCTAGGTGTTGGGATAAGGGTGTGTGATTGTTGCAGAGCCCTAGGCAGGTGTGATGCTGTCTGCACAGAGAATGGCAAACACCCTGTCTCCTGGCAACTGATGGCCTGGGCCCCTCCCCTGCAAAGGTGACAACTGAAGGTGTTGAAGAACAAAGAGATAAGGTGGCCTCCTGCCCCGAGAAAGAAACAAAGGCCAGAGGAGGGGCTGGAGGGGGCTTCAGTTTGGAGCTGGCTGGGGAAAGAGAGGGAGGCCCAGAACCAGGGTCTGGCCTCTCTGGCCCCCAGGATGGACCTGACTGAGGGGTCCTGTTCTCTGTACCTACAAACTCTGTTTTAGACCATGTTCCTGTTGTCTAATACACCTTCTGTTTTATTGGCTGGCTGAGAGTCATGTCTGACTGTGGAGCTGGGGTGCAGGGCCCTCTGGCTTCCCCAGGAGCCCTGCCCGTGCGGACTCACTGTGGGAAGCGCATGGTGTGAAAAGGGGATGCTGAATGCTCCAAAGTCAGATCCAGGAAGGTCAAAGCTATGTAAGCTTCTTGCCCTGAAGACAGTATGCCCACAGAGAGGAGGCACGCTTCCCCAGAGTCCTGATTGGCTTTGTATGGAGTAGTTGCAGAGCATTGCCCGGTGACTCCATGACAACTGGACTAGATGGATAACAGGTCTGATCCATTCCTAAGACAATTCCTGTCTCTGATAGTGGCCAGTATCAGATGCTGTTGAGGCCATTGCAAGAAACTCCACAGTACACAGATGTAGAATACTCTGCCCCATGAGGGTCTCATCCTAATTCCCACTAATCAGAAATTGGTTTAAGATGAAATACGGTGTTTTACATCCCTTCAAGCCTCAGCTCATCTGTGGGATGTAAGTATCATCATCCCCATTTTACATATAGGTAAACCGAGACACAAAGGGATTAAGTGATTTGCCCAAGATTATGAGACTAAGCAGTGGCAGGGCAATATTAGAACTCTTGAGTCTGTCATTGCTTTTATCCCTCCTGCTCTAATTACAACATGCTTCTTCCAGATGGGGTTAAATAGAGTTCGTCCACCCCTAGCTGAATGTGTTGGCGTCTGAAATGTGAACATATGGGTGGTGGTGAAGAGTTCTCTCCTGCTGCATGTTTTGCAAGTGAGG